AGTCGAAAAAACACTTTATTCAAGTAAATATAGGGTTTTGTTTTATTTAACAAATTATGCATCCATCCATTTAATCAGTTAGTTTGTCTATTTATCCATCCATTAACGTTCATTCATGCATCTATCTATCCATTCATTCACCTTATTCATTCATTCATTCACTTAATTTTTTTAACCGTTCTATCCATTCATTGATTAAGAAACTAATTAATAGCTTCTTTCAGTGACAGCTCACTCATGCTACCATTATTCTAAACATCAACACTTCGTATGGAACATGCAAACACGCATGAACATGAATGCATATGTATAATAATGATTGTAACGAACAAATGAATGAATGAATTAATGAATGAATTAACTAACGAAATAATGAATGAATGAAATAATGAAATAATGAATAAATAAATGGAATGAACAAATAAATAAATAAAACTTAAATAAATTTAAAAATTTAAAGTATACATAAATGGATGGAGAAATAAAAAAGAAATGCATGAATGCGCAAATCAATGCATGCATTCATGTATACAAACAACAATTAATTTTCTCAGACTGCGACAACAACAACAACAACAGCAACAACAACAACTCCCAAAACAATAGCAACAACTACAGCAACAACATCGCCGACCACATTCCAGTTGTATGATTCTATTTAACGAGAATTAGAATGCAATATAGATTCATAATGAGATTGTCTGTGCGTCCGTGTTTAAGTATGTAATGTACATTACACATTAACACACTCCACACACACAGACACAAACACATACAAACAAACACTCACACACACACACACACATGTGGTTATTTATATATTTATACACCTATGTAGTTGCATTGTGTGTATGTTATATTTACCAGAATTTAAAAGAATATTTAGAATGAAAGACAAGTTTTTGAAAAAAATTGTAGACAATCCAAGAACTCTTCATCCAACTAATACTCAATCCCATGTTTAATTTCCGATGTCTTGAAAGCTATGATGGCCAAAAATTAAAAATTATTGTACATAGTATAGGTGCATATTCGGTTAAACCATCTTTAAAACATTACAACATCTCTGCAATTAAGTTGCTATGATAAAGAGTTTCTGTATACATGTTGGTATACATATGGTTAACACGTCTATATCTATAAATCTATGTTTGTTTGTTTGCACGTAAGTATATGTAAGTATGTATGTATCTATGTATCTATGTAAGACTTTTGCTAGGCTCATACATGCCTAAGTTTGCTTCGTATTTAAATATGCTCCACTTGTATTCGTGAATGTTTCAATAGGTTCGCAATCTGGTCATCCGTGTAAAATGAAATCCATTTTTCTGTTTTGTTTCGTTTTGTTTTCTTTTGTATGTATATGTAGTACTAACCATGCGTAGATACACTTGTATTAATATACATTATTCAATTTTACAAATATGCTTGCATGCATGTGTTTATGCATGAATGTATACATGCAAATTGACATCTATGTATGTATATATGCATTTATATATGTATACTTGCTTGCAGATACTAAGTACGTATGTATGTATGTATGTATGTGTGTAGGTAGGTATGTATACAATACACACATGTATATACATGCAAACACATATGTAAGCATAGTACGAAGGTAAGTAGTAATTATCTTGGCGACTTTAATCATCGAGCGGCACGTTCGTGCAACAATCCATGCCGACGATGATGTTGTTGTTATTGTTGTTGCTGTTGTTGTTGTTATTGTTAATGATGTATTGATCTCATTGAGGTTATTGTTGTTGGTGCTGTTGTTGTTGTTCTTGTTAATGGGTTGTTGTTGGTTTCAATGTTACTTTCGTTGTTGTTGTTGGTGGTGTTACACTTTCTAAACGTATTGTTGGTGTCATAATTTTGCATTGCTGTTGTTGTAGTGGTGTTATGTTACAGTATTGCGTTAATGTAATGACGTTTTGTTGTTAATTGATGTCGTTGTGTTGTATCGGTTCTTGCGTGACAGTAATTGTTTTATCTGATGGCTTTTAAGAAAATATATTATCATACACGTATGTTCATTGTATTCTTCTTGTATTCTTTGTAGAAGTTGACTGAGGAATTTGTATTTTAGTTGATGTTGTTAGTTGAATTTGTTGTTGTATTTTTGCGGCTTTTTTTGCAATTGATATTCTGTTTTCGGTATTGTGGCTTAATGACGTTCATATCGTCATTACATCTGTCAGTGTCTACGGTAACAATGTAGCTAATTGCTATTTTCTTCCTTCTGTACAATTAAATAAAAACACGACATACCACTACATACACACACACACACAAACACACACACCAACATACACACGCACATACTCTCACACACTCAAACACATATTGCTACACACATTCGCACACAAAAATACATACACAAACACACACACACTCATGCTTACATACACACAAGTGCTACAAACAAATCTCTACAACTCTTTCCACACAAGCACAATTCTCAACACACAAACATACACACAAACATACACACAAACATACACACACACACCACACACACACACACATACACAAACACACAGCGTAAGACATCAAAAGGCAGAAACGCACGGAAGCACAGGCTACAACTTGCAGTTAAAATCACATCAACTCACGTATCCAACAGCAGCACATACACACACATGTACACAAACGTACATACACACACATGTACACGAACATACATACACACATAAACATGCACACATACATTGGTATATGTATACACAACAATATACGCAACATTCAAATAATCACGCACGCAATGACGCAATTTTATGTATATATTTACGCATACACACAGATATAATCAAACAACATGGACACCCACTCACACATACACGCACATGCACGCACACATACACGCACATACACGCACACATACACGCACATGCACGCACACATACGCACGCATAAAATGACAACGGGACTCGATAAATTGGAAACTTATAAGCGATATGAAACAATGTCATTGTACAGGCAATCTTACTGGGTATTCTGTGATACAATTACTACAATGCCAACACAATTCAATACAACACAATACAACACAATACAATACAATACAATACAATACAATACAATACAATACAATACAACACAATAAAATACAATACATTACAAATAATACAATACAATACAATACAACACAATATAATACAATACAACACAATAAAATACAATACATTACAAATAATACAATACAATACAACACAATACAAAGTAATACAATACAACACAATACAAAATAATACAATACAATACAGCAGTATTAGTAGTTGGTTGGTCTGCAGTCTGCCTATTGAATAAGTTATAAACAACGTAAAAACATTTTCGGGTATTCTGATTATACAATATTAATGATGACCTCCATTTCTAGAAGATGACGATGATGATGATGATGATGGTGATGATGAGGGTGATGATGATGGTGATGATGACGATGATAAAGATGATGATGTGATGATAGTGATGCTGAAGATGGTGATAATGATAATGATGACAAGATAATGGTGATGTTAATGAATGTGAGAACATGTGATGACAATGATGAGAACGCTGATTACGATACCGATGATTATAGCCGCAAAGATCATGATGAAGGCTAAGTCAGTTGACGAAGACACTGATAACAATGATGATGACAATGATGATGTTCGTGATGATGATAGATAGGACGATGATAACTTCTTATACAAGAATGATAACGATTTTCTTCACAATGATGTTGCTAAACTAATTTAAAGTGATCTGCAAAAATTGTCTACCCATTCTGCTGCTGCTGCTATTACTACTACTATTACTCCTAGTACTATTACTACTACTACTACCATTATTACTACTACTAATACTACTACTACTACAATTACAACAATAATACTACTACTACTAATAATAATAATAATAATAATAATAATAATAATCGCGTCAATTAGTTCTAAGAATGAAGAACTCTGCCTCTACTTGGAGTGAATCGGAAGATATCAATAATAATCAAGTGAACGAATTAGTTTCATACATATATACGACGGCATATGTATACTAAAAATATTAACAATCATAAAAATACTACTTATAATAATGATATGATAACAGCAATAATGTTAATAACGATAATGATAATATTAATAACATTTCTGATGAATTAAACTAGAAAGAAAGAGAGAGAAAGAAAGAGAAAGAGAGATAGAGAGAGAGAGAGAGAGAAAGAATGAGAAAAAGAGAGAAAACGCTTGAAGATTTCTAAATAATGAACAAGTTTTTGAAGACGACGAAATGAAACACGATATGACATCAATTAATGAAGAAAATTAAACATGGCAGTGAATGTGCAAGGGCAAGAGAGAGAGAGAGAGAGAGAGAGAGAGAGAGAGAGAGAGAGAGAGAGAGAGAGAGAGAGAGTGAAAGTTTGAGAAAGATAGAGAGAAAGTGAGAGAAAAACAACTAGAAATAGATACATACACACACACATATAAACACACGTGTAATAAAATTTTGTTGAAGAATATATCATATCATGAGATGGATATCACAGGCATTTGTTGTTTTTGCTATCATCATTATTGTTGTTTTTATTATCATTATTGTTGATTTTATTATTATTATTATTATCGTGCTTTTTATTGCGTATTTTTTAGTTAATTTTATCATTATTACCTTATAAGTATTAGCAATGTTAAATGCACAAGTACATGAACAATAATAATAATGATAATAATAATATTATTATTATTGTTGTTGTTAATACAAATACTACTAACAATACTGCTACTACTAATACAGATACTTTATTACTGTTGATACTAGCATTGCATCTGCTAATAGAAGTAACCTTAACTCTCTACGTCAGCGTAACATGCATGAACTAGGTGGTATAGATTGACAGATAGGTGTGATTTGATAGTAAAAATATATATAATTTTCTATAATCTATCATTGCTAAAAACACATACAAGATTGTTAGTATAAGCATGCGCGTGCGTGTGTGTATGTGAGAGTATGTTTGTGTATGTGTGAGCGTGCATTTGATGATATGCACATGTGTGTATGTGCGTGTGTGTGTTTACTGTCTATGTGTATACACATATATACACATATATTTTTATGTTTATTCCTTTGATGGTTAACTTATTCACTAAGTTTAGGCATGTTTTTATTTTTGTAATAAATGTTTATGCTCACAGGTGTTTATAATGCAAGAGTTTTTAAGAGTTTCTCGGGAGTTTATGTATAAAGAGATTGTAATGAATGAGTATGCGTATGTTCTTTTTATATGTTTTATTTTCTTCAAGGTAGCCACAATTATTGAATAATTGAAGAGTAGTGGTTGTAAAATTAAATTGCATCCCGGCCGCGCAATTACGGAAGAAATTATACAAACGCTTTTTATGTATTTCTGTAGTTCTTTTATGTTTGTATTTTTTGCATGCATACTTGTATACCTTGACGCATATTTGTATATTATTTGTATGTTTGTATATCTTTGTGTATGTTTGTTTGTATGTTTGTGCATGTTTTACTGTCTTTGTGTATTTACTTCTTGAAAATGTTTGTATTTACTACGAAGGTGTCTGTCTACGGCTTAATTCTGTAACGTTTGTTTGCAGTTTTGCTTATGCCTCAGTATGCCTAGATGGAATCGTGTGCTTTTGTATATTAGTTTGTTTGTCTGTCTGTCTGTATGTTTTTTTGTTTGTTTGTTTATACTACAAAATTTCATTTTTGGCGAGATTACAAGATTTGTTTCTATATTTCAATTTTCTATCGATACTGGTTTTAAAAGTTGTCTTATTAAAGTTATTGTTATGTATGTGTATCTTGTTTACGTTCTACAAGTTTTTAAATTTCTAAAAAAAAATTGAAAAAACCAAATGAAGTGATGGCTTGCAAAATGATTAACAACTTTCCTACATCAGACAGACAAACAAACAACTGAATACTGCGATCCTAGCAAAAAAAAAATGTTAATGCACGCCAATGGAGAGGGTGGCTGTTATTTACTTATAAGCAATGATTAATGCCCATTTGTTGTAACACGTGCAACGTATAAACATCTGAAAATCACGTATTAGCGAATAAAAACATAAATATCACAAATAAAACTTATATTAATGTATGTGCATGTGTGTATAATATATATGTATGTATTAATCAATGTGTGTGTGTATAGTGTATACATGTGTGTGTGTTTGTATGTGTGTTTGTCACAATCACACACACACAACACAAACACACACACACACACACACACACACACATACACGAGCTGGTAAATCTGATAGTGAGAAGACCTGGCAAATGTGGATCCTTCATTATCGACTTACAACCCCATCGTCGCTCACGGACAGGTGCATATGTTCTTTGTTTAATATTCTTTGCCATGCCTACGTCATACGCATACGTTTGTATATAGGCTGACTATATATACGTATATCATATATATACTTGTGTGATATATATATATATATATATATATATATATATATATATATATATCACATATCATCGAGATAATAACAAGTAAAAATATCATAAAAAAAACTTACTAATCTTTCTGCAGTTAAAAAAACATCACAAACACAAACGCAACCAGAAGCACACACACACTTATATACACACATACACATGTATGTTTGTATATATATATATATATATATATATATGTATATGTATATAGATAGATATATATATATTATATTATATAAAACTTTTCTAATAATAAGTTTTAAAAATATATATTTATATATTTTTCGCATGCTTGTTTGATTACACGTATTATTGTTCGATCCACCAACGTATATTTCTTCCTCTTTCTCTCTCTCTCCATCTTTTCTTTCTCTCTCTCTCTCTTTATATATATATATATATATATATATCCGTGTACAAGCAATACACTTAAAAGGAAAATGAGATTTTCATTTTATTCATCGTCCACTCACATGCAAGTTCTAAAAAAAGAGAACGCACATAAAATGATGTGGCTCGCAAGCACGTATACACACGTGCACACATCGTACATTACACAAAGGCATACACACACACACACTACACTGCACAAACACAGACGAACACAAACACATACATTTAAGAAACACACATGTACACATTACACAAACATATACACACACACACATACATACACGTACACTACAAATTTTTCATGATTATAGGACATAAAATAGCAACATCATCGTCATTATCATCAACAAATTTACTGCAATCGTCATCACCAAAATTATCACCACCATCACCAACAACAACAACCACAACATCATTACCATCACCACAACAAAAACATCATCATCACAACCAGCTACCTGATCAATCAACTTGGAACAATACAGACTGACACCAACTATATTGAAATATTATTGTAAAGACATGCAAACGAACAAAAACTCATCCAAACACGCATACGTACACTTGTACAAATAAGCAATAAAAGTCAGATTCACATACAAACACATACTAACGCATACAATTACATTTAAACAAATAAAAACTTATAAAACATATACAAACACATACAAACAAGCGCAACACAATAATTCAAAATAATACAAAATAAATACACATGTGTGTACATAAACACACTCACACACAAACAAATGTGTAATATAATAAGCACGTAGGTTGTATGTGAAAGCTAGTTGTAGTGCACAAAGGGTAGCATGGTATCTGTGAGAAAGATGAACCGAAAACAAACACGCGAACAGTAATTATAGTGTGAACAATAACAAAGCAACAATAACATGATGGCAACAATATTAGCAATACAAAATTATAAAATACTAATCACAACAACAAAGCAGTTCAATCACAATGACAACAATCATTGTGACAACAATAACCAGCAGCAACAAACAACATTAACAGACAACACCAACAAAAACAAACAACAAACAACATCAACAAACAACATCAACAAACAACATCAACAAACAACATCAACAAACAACATCAACAAACAACATCAACAAACAACATCAACAAACAACATCAACAAACAACATCAACAAACAACATCAACAAACAACATCAACAAACAACATCAACAAACAACATCAACAAAAATAACAACGCCAGCAACAATATTAGAAGCACTGCCATGTAAGCAGGTATTGCTAGGAATAAAAAATTTGTTGTCGTGACTATAAATACTTTGAAACATCGTTTCAAAGTTTATCATTTGTGAAACATCATAACACACGCACGCAACATTCAACGGATGGACTGATGGGAAGATGAAGGAATGAATGTTTAAATAAATAACTGGATGAATGAATGGTTGAATGATTGAATGAATGAGTGAGTGAGTAAGTGTGTGTGAGTGAGTGAGTGAGTGAGTGAGTGAGTGAGTGAGTGAGTGAGTGAATGAGTGAGTGAGTGAGTAATAAATGAATGGGTGAGTGAGTGAATGAACGAATGAATAAAAAGATAAAAAATATGAAAGTAAAACTAAATAAATAAATCGAAAAATGAATAAAAAGTGAAAACAAATGAATGACAAAGTTGGATTAGTGGATAAATGAATGGATAGATAGATGAATGGATAGATAGATGAATGGATGAATGATCGAATGAATGCATGAATGCATGAATGCATGAATGAATGAATGAATGAATGAATGAATGAATGAATGAATGAATGAATGAATGAATGAATGAATGAATGAATGAATGAATGAATGAATGAATGAATGAATGAATGAATGAATGAATGAATGAATGAATGAATGAATGAATGAATGAATGAATGAATGAATGAATGAATGAATGAATGAATGAATGAATGAATGAATGAATGAATGAATGAATGAATGAATGAATGAATGAATGAATGAATGAATGAATGAATGAATGAATGAATGAATGAATGAATGAATGAATGAATAAAAATATACATGAAAACAAAAGAATGAACAATTAATTTCATGTAAATAACAGCCAAACAAACAAGAAACATACAAAACACGAGAGGAACAAATATAAAATTAATGAACAAATTAATGAATGAATGAAAGAACAAATTAATGAATGAATGAAAGAACAAATTAATGAATGAATTGATTATCGAGCTGATTAACAACGAATTAAATAAAATAAAAGAATCTAGTATTGTATAACTTACGAGTGAAATGCGTGAATGAATAAATAAGCCGTCCATACCTTCTCACGTTTGAATGCATAAAAATAAAAAAAACTCAGTAAACACATACACACACACATACACACACACAAACATACACACACGCAAACATACACACAAACATCCGAAGTATACATAAAGCATACGCTAATGCATACGCACTTATAAAGTACAAACGTGTACGTATTTATGAGTTAACTGTTAGATATTTCTTCTACAGCTTATCAAGGCATCGCTTCATTAGTTATTTTCTTCCTTCCACTTAGTTGTCGGATTTGTTCTTGCATGTGCATTTGATGTGAAGATGTTTACAGATGTATGTGCGTGTAAATGTTTGTGCGTATGTGAAGATGTTTATAGATGTATGTGCGTGTGAATGTTTGGTGTGCGTGTGTGTGTATGCGTGTGCGTTTGTGTAATATGTGTATTTGTGTTTGTTTATGTCTATGACATGCTTGTTGTATGTTTGTGAGAGTGTATGTGAGCCTGCGTGTTTTTTTTTATAATCATGTCTACAAACAGCTGACTGATTACTACTGGCTGCTAAATGCGTGTTTTTATCTCTGTGATCTCATTACAGAACACTGATAACAAATTTAAACAAATAACTCTGGCAGACATTTTATCGAAGAAATATAAATAACGCAGAGTCTGACATTTAGAACCAAATGTTGACAATGAAAGATTTGAAGAAAAAAACAAACCAAAAAAGCAAAAAATATAAACATACAAACAAATGAACAAATAAACACGATGAACAAACTCATAAAAAACCCAGAAAAACCGCCAAAAACAAAAATGGGAGATAAACAAACAAAGAAACAAAGAAAGAAGCAGCAGCAATTGTGCATTTGTCGTACGTCAGATAATGAACCCATCAGAAGGACGTCACTTAATGAATTGAACGAGGAGACTCTTTAATTAAAATTCCACCTCTAGGGATTCTGCTGAAACTATTTCAACTGCTGCAGCTGAAAAACAGTAACGAAAAGTAGAAGATAACAATTAAATAAGAAGAAAAAAAAACAATTTAAAAATCTATTAACCAACAACGAGTAGGAAAAATAGGAGGAACATTTTCAACAGCTTCCAAACAACTGCAACACTTTTAAAATCTTTTAAATCAACTTTCAAACAACAGGCATTCAAATAGTTTCCTTAACGCCAAAGTTTTAAACAAACAAACAAACACTAACAAAAGAACGACTCAGAAATTGAAACGAGAGAAAACGGTTTCAACATCTACTTGAGGAACACTTGAACGACTCAACAACGCATCACCGAAACATAAACTATCAAAAAAACAATAACAACAACACTAACAACAACAAAAACAACAAGGACAACATCAACAAACGACATAACAGCAACAGCAAGAACAACACACTAACAACAACAAAAACAGCTAGAAAATTTAGAAACGCTGGCTAACATGAAAGAAAGAGAAACATGTAAAGAAGCAAAGAAAAACAGAAGCCCGTAAAGTAGAATTTGAATATTGAACTCAAGCTAAACTATAAACAACGATTTAAACTGAACACTTGAATAATAACGGATTATATAAAATACATTGCCCACCTAAGCTAACACTGTAGATACAAAAACATCAGCTTAACCTAAAACCTAAACAACGCATAAACATAAACAACAACTTAACTGACGTTAAAACCAAAAGAGAGGCTTTTAAACAAATACAACAAGCTAGTGTAGACAAAACAAAAAAAAATAAATAAATGATAATAATGATAATAAAGCAACAAAACTGACAACCATAAACAAACAAAAATATAAAAATCAGCGTAAACCAAAATAAAAACAACAACAATGCCATAAGCAACAACACAAACAACAAGATAAACAAAAAAACCTCATAAAGAACAACAATACAACATGAACAACAACAACACTTGAACAACAACAACAACAACAACAATATATAATAAGCTTTGAAGCATCACCACTAGCCACCAAATGCAACGCTTGCAACACATCTTTCAAATTTTTTATATATGGAAACAAAAACAATAAAAATAATAATAAAAGTAGCAACAACAATTATAACAACAACAACAGTGTATACAATAATAATAAGAACAGCAATGACAAAGACGGAAACTTCCTGATAACAGTAAAAATAACATTAACAATTTCCAAAACACACAAAAAACACACTAAACAATAACAAACAACAAAAAACACTCAACAACTACAACATACACACAACAAACACGCAACAAAGACACAAAAACAAACACAAAAGCAAACGCAGAAAATGAATTATCCTCATCAACAACAGAATTATTCTAATCTCTAGCAACAAACCATCACCATCAACCTCTATCAACATCATCGTCATCATCATTGTTACAACAACAACATCATTCTTCCCAATAACAACAACAACAACATTCAAACCAATTGATCTGTGAAGATAAAACATGCCTGGAGGTACGTCTATTTCTGAGTGCAACTTTTCCTGTTTATATGTTTGTATACTTAGTTTTGTGTATGTTTGTATGTGTAAGTTTGTACGTGTATGTTTGTATGTGTGTGTTTGTATGTGTATGCTTGTACGTGTGTGTGTTTGTATGTGTGTATAAATGTAGTTGCTTGAATGTTTGTAAACTGTGTATGTATGTATAAATATGTAGTAGTTTGTTTAAATTCATGTATAAATGAGTGTATGTTTATGAATTTACTAGTCTAATACCAATGTATATCTTTGTGTGTATGTGTGGTATGTGTATTTGTGTGTGTATGTGTATGTGTGAAAGAGAGAGAGAGAGAGAGAGAGAGAGAGAGAGAGAGAGAGAGAGAGAGAGAGTGTCTGTATGTGTGTGTGTGTTTGTGAGAGTCGATAGTGCAATCGTTTGTTTGACCTTTTCAATATCAATGTCCGTATGTTTATAGTTTATTTATATGCATGTACTTGCGTGGGTCGACTCCTTAATATAAGACTCCACGCCACGTATCCAAAAATTTTGCAGATTTCGATCATCCTTAATTGTTGCTATCTTGCTTTAATTTTCTACAATTATAAAGCAATTATTATCAGCCATTAGACTATTATTGCTATTATAAATTAGACCAGAGCAATTAAATCGCTTATTTTTGTTTGAAAATAGCGATCATGATGATTATATCTTCTATAAACTAAAAATACGAACAACAATACAAATTGAAATACAAGAATAAATACAAATACAATACAAAATACAAATACAATACAATGTACAAATATACAATACAAATACAAACAAATACAAAACCAAGAATAATACTGATTAAACTCAATTTAAAATTTTGTAGTCACAATGATACTTAAAAACCCTAAAATCAACATACAAACAAACAACATATAAATCAGCAACAACATACAAAAATACAAAAAAACATACATACAAAGCACATACAAAACAACAACAACGAACAAACAAATCAAACATCATATATCCACGAAGAGTACCAACAAAAACTTCTTAACGGCATTTTTGTTCTTGAACGAGAATTATACAAACAAACTAAATCATGATCTATTTATATACAATGTAAACATTGAATATCACACACACACTTACATACACACACACACACACACACACAAACAAACTGATATCTACAAACTATCTTCATAAATGAATTACGTAATGCACATACTAATGCACATACTAATGCATTAGTACGTCAGTAGATTAGAGAGAAAAAAGATGAAAAAGAAAGAGAAAAGAGAGAGAAATAGAGAGAAAGAGAAAGAGAGAGAGAAAGAGAGAGAGAGAGAGAGAAAGTAAAAAAGAAAGATAAAATACTGTGATAGTAATACTTTGTTAAACCTCTTAGTTTTTCCCATTTTGTTCAGCTCCTTCATTTTATTTATCCCCTTATACCATCCATTCGTTCGTTCACTTATCCATCAATCCATTAATCTATCCATTCATTCATCCATCCATCCATCCATTTGCAATTTCAACAATATGTGCAGCAGCAAAAAAATGAGAGAGAGATTGAAAAAGAGAGAAGTGGATGATGAGGAAGAGGAGCTTGATCATTCGAATGTTTAATGTGTTTCGGTTGTTTCATATAACGTCTACTATGTAAAATTGTCTGAGTGTGTAGGTATGCATGTATATATGTGTGTGTTTGTTATCATTATGTATGTGTATTTGTTTGTGCGTGTTTATTTTTAAAACATGTGCGTGTGTGAAATCATTTCTATGTGTGTTGTAATTGATTGTTTTGTATGTGCGTGCCTGTTTACCTTTATTTTTCATCACATTAGTATGTGTGCTTAACTGAAATACTTTATGTACATATGTATACATAAATCTCTGCTTATGTCTGTATGTTGGTGTGTATGGTTTTATCTACATATCTAAACATATCTGAATGTTTGCTTTAGGTATGTTTATTTGAGTTCTCAGTATTTATCCGGGAGTGAGTTTGTATGCAAAAATTGTTTTTGTATAAATTTGTATCTGCACGTAATTGTCTTCTTATACAAACAGAAAAACACACACAGACAAACACTCACAGACGTACAAATATACATACTACATGCACACACGCACACAAACAAATACACACACAAATATACACACAAATACACAAGCACACACACGCACCGACTTACTCACACACACACACACACACACCACATACACACAGACATACATACACAAACACACAATGACTAAGACACTCAGGAATAACGAAGCAATATCATTCAAAATACATGCAGACTGTTATTCTTTTGTGTGGGAAAAAATTTTTTCGGCCATGGGTTATTAAATTGTTATCGATGTTGCTGATGTCGTAGAGGCTGCTGTGGCTGCTCTTACAGCTGCTGCTGCTGCTGTGGTTGCTGTTGCAGCTGCTGCTAAGTGTTGTTGTGGTTACAAAATGATGTTGTCGTTGTTTAGATTTATGAAATTACGAAATTATTTTTATAAAGGTCTATTTAATTGCTACTTAATTTTTCAAAGTTTTATGAAAAAAAATTATTTTTTTCTTGGAAGATACATCTCCAAATAACAGTAAAATTTGTTTCTGGCATCATTTCAAGTTGATTTAACCATCACGAGATAACGTTAATGATATCGTGCGCAATTAATAAGTTGATGTCGTTACTATAGTTGATGTAATATGTTGTTAACGTGGGAGATTATGTTATTAAATGGTAATATTGCTGGCAATTCGGGGTGTTGTTAGTACCCGATATGAATAATTCAGCGGTCATTTGAATAATTAAAAGGTGAATGGGCAGCTTTTGTTGCTATGTTGTAGTTGATGAGATTTCGTTGTTTTTGTTGTTGTTGTATTTAATGTGGTTTCGTTGTTGTTGTCGTTGTTTAGTTTTTTGAAGTTTTTCAAGGTTTTAATTGCGTTATCTATGCTGGAATTGCTCATCTATTGTTGCATTTGTTTCCATATTTTGTGCAGTTTCTGTTTATGATGTTAATGTTACGGTTTTTTTATTCTTGCTATTGGAACTTAGGTTATTACTATTGTTTCAATCATCTTTTTGTTATTGCTACGTAGAATAATAATAATAATAATAATGATAATAATAATAATAATTATTATTATTTTGATTATTTTTTATCATAGTTGGATGCCCGCTGATACGGTTGATGATGTTTATATTGGAATTACGTAGAAATGAAAAGATGATGGTGATGAAGACGATGAGGACAATAACAATCGACGACGATGATGGCGAAGACGACGACGATGATGACTATAATATGACAAATGACTCCAGGAAACAAAATAAAAAACCTTATCATAATCATTAAAATGCTAAAAATGCTAAAAATGACCATACTAGTAACTATAGAAACAAACTTAACCTCATATTAATAAAATTAAAATAAAAAAAATTTGTCATGGTATGAAAGATTCACACAAATGTGACGATAATATGGGCAATGATGATGATGATAATAGCATAAATGATAATGATGATGATGATAGCAAATAGTGATGATGACATGACATCAAAAGCGATTAATGTGATGTAGTCCATAATTTGAGATAATTATCATCCTCCACTCTTCAAAATGTAGACTTTTACGAGCCATTGAAACCTTCAAGATTAAAAAAATCGATTTTATGGCTCAATTTGTACAACGCCAATGTTGACGTTACAAAAAGATTTCATTGGCATGTTATTCATATCCGCGTATTCCTTCATTTATACGCACATTTATACGCACGTGGGTATAAATACGCACACACACACGTATTAATACATACATACATGCATACATATGTATGTAGAGATACATGCATACATACTTAAAAATACACACATACGTATGAATACATTGATGAAAACGTATTCGCAAACACACACACACACACTCTAAAAAATACACTTTAATGTATGTACTTCTAAAAATGATACCATCAAAGATATATGTATTTTAAAAGGATTTTTTTAAAGATAGTTTTTCAACATTTGGCTCATTCATGTCATATATAAATAAACAAGCTAGCAAATGAAAACATAAAACACATATATTTAATAACGTAATTACAAAACAGTTGATAATTAAATATATATGGATATATATCTTTGTGTGTGTGTGTGCTTGTGTGTACGTGTGTATATACACGTGTGTGTACGTGTGTATATACACGTGTGTGTATACACGTGTGTGTACGTGTGTATATACACGTGAGTGCGTGTGTGCGTGTGCGTGTATGCGTGCGTGTGTGTATAACTTAGACCTTTAGAGAAGCATATATTTTCATATGATGTTGTGCATAATTTGCTGGCTGGGAATCACCATACTCAGTCTGAGAAATTCGCGAGGGAGCAACTAAACGACGAACTAAACATCTTTCACGTGCGTACGTACGTACGTACGTCGGCCAGGGTGCTGAATGGTGATGGTGGTGAGGTGGTAAAGTGGTGGTTAAATAAAAGTGGTAATTATGATGGTGTTGATGGTTTAGTTTGCTGGCAAAGATGATGCTGATCGTTATTTTATTCTGCTTTTTGGTGATAACAAAATTGAAAGAGAGAGAAAAAAAAGAAAGAAAAAGAAATGAAAGAAAGTGAAAAAGAGGAAGAAAGAATGAGGTTATACTGTTGATGATGTTTCCGATGATAACAAAGATAATTTTAATTACTATGACGTTGATGATAATAATTTTGATACATGATGATATATGGTAGGATATATGATACGATACGATGCAATACAATAATGATATATGTCATGAGAGAATTTTTTTTTTCGTGCTCTATCCTTTCAGGACATTGGCGACCATCGACCTCCACAAAACCCGATCTTCAACACTTTGTAGTACTTGAAACGTGGTGATATTCAACAAGTGACACAAGGACTTCACAAATGTTATTTGTTGTTAACCGCGTTCTCTTTTTCCTCAAATCTTTCCAGTAGTTGTTGGATTTTCCATTCTTTCCTTCAACATGATGTGACCGTAAAACTTTAACTACTCCCGTCGGATTATCTGCAGTAATTTCTTCCTTTCATAACCGGACTGTCTTAATACATCCTCATTGGTAGTATAAAAGATCCAACTAATTTTCAAAATTTTTCTCAAAAACCACATCTCAGCAGCGTTAATCCTTAATTTCATGATGATGTATTCACGTGAAAATATAACAGTATGATAATGTATTGATGTGATACCATGACAATGTATTGATGTGATAATATGACAATGTATTTATGTGATAATATGATGATGTATTTATGTGATGACGAACGACAGAGCATTCGATGATGACGAATAACGTTAAGATTTGCACGGTAAGGTGTCCACTACGATGGCGATAATAATGATGACGGATCGATCGAATCAATATGATGTATACATTTTAAAATGTCAAACATGACTGTGGTAACGATGATGATGAAGATGATTACGATGATGATGATGTGATGATGACGACGAAGAAGCAATGATGAGGATGATGTGATGATGATGAAGAAGAAGCGATTTTTATCATTTAGAATGACGAATTTGATGAAAACACTTATTAAAAATCATTCGTATGAAAAATAATGAAATAATGAAAAAGTGATGATAACTTTTTAAATAGTGACGATGATAACGATGATGGTGGTGATTATAATGATGATGACGACGACGACGATGATGACAGTGATTTATGGATTCAGTGATAAATTAATAAAACGTTTGATTGAATGCATTAGACAATATTTTAGTACGCTCTCATAATTAGAAACAAATCAAACCAAGTCATTATATGCGAATGAGTGAGCGAGTGAGTGAGCGAGCGAGTGAGTGAGTGAGTGAGTGAGTGAGTGAGTGAGTGAGTGAGTGAGTGAGTGAGTGAGTGAGTGAGTGAGCGAGCGAGTGAGTGAGTGAGTGAGTGAGTGAGTGAGTGAGTAAATGAGTGAATGTACAAAGTTTGAATTCATTTTATCATCACTCAACAAAATTATCAATCGAATATTCATTATCGTCCTTGGTCATCATCGTCATTACAATTTGATTATGGTTTAATAAACTTCGTTTTTGCAATGTATTTCTTTTCATCATTATCAACATCATCATCTTCTTCATCACCATCATCATCATCGTCGTCGTCATCATCATCATCTTTTTCATCATCAACAACCTTTCACCATTTTTTGTCATCATCATTATTAACTATAAAAAGTATTAACCCTCACCATAATCATCATCATCCTCGTCGTCATATCAACTAAAACATAATAAAAACATTAGCAACAAAGAAACAAAACATAAAAAAATAATTAAACATTTTTGAATTTCCTTCATAAAAAAATTAAATAAAATTACCAAAAAAAAGATGAAACAATGAGCCTGGTGTCCATGATAACAACATCAAACAACTCGGTAATGATAATATTAATAATATTATAAATAATAAAATAATAACAATTAATAATGAAATAATAATAATAATAAAAACAATTGATCAAAATGTGGGGATGAGTGGAAAGATTGATAATGAACTGATGGATGAACACTTTGTAGAACTCAAGTACATTTTACGAGATTATTAAACAAAAAAGTATATATAATATATATATATATATATATATATATATATATATATGTGTGTGTGTGTGTGTGTGTCTGTGTGAGTGTATGTGTGTGTGTGTGCGTGTATGTGTATGTGTGCGTGCGTGTGTTAACAAATGAACATAATCAAATTTAGAACCGTGTCTGCTAGCGAAAAAAGAGAACTTCACTACACAAGTATCATGAAAATTTGTCTTACTCATCCAATAATACTTAAGCATTATAAATATAGCAATGTATGTGTGTATTCATGTATGGATGCATGCATGTTTGTATTCTCTCTTAATAGTATTGTACTCATGTATGGATGCATGCATGTATGTATTCTCTTTTGTATAGTATCGTATGCATGTATGTAAGTATTTATGTATGTATGGATGTTTGTTAGTACACATGTAGGCATGATCCTTTTTTGTATATAGGCATGTATGTGTACATATTTATAGGAAAGTTTATATATTATTATTGATACATATGTTGGTTTGCGTATGTACGTGTAGTTACGTCTGCATAAGAAATTTTTAATTTATGTTAGAAACATTGTACAAGTGAAAGAAGTTATTTATATAAGAACTCATCACAATCATTGAAATTATTGTATAAATTTAAAAAATATAATTATAATAATATAATAAATATTATATAAATATATGATAAATTGAATTGAAAAAACTTTGAAAATGTTAAACAAACAAACAAAGGCAAAAATTCACTTTTTGCATAGCGACCATTGGCAAAGCAAACAAGGCTCTCTAATTAAACATACAAAACAAACATACAATAAACACAAACATACAACACGTACGTACATACAACACACACACACATACAAAAAACAAACAAACACACGAAACGTGCATACAAAACCAACACGAGTCAGCCCATTTTTAAATATATTTGCACAGTATAATTTAGAACCATTATTATACATCTTCATTATTATAACGCACCAATGCACAGGCACAACTACTTTGTTTGCATACCACACACCGACACAAACACATATACAACTAACACGCACACACATGCAACAAAAAGATACACACACACAAACACTTAGAAACATAAAGAGGTTGGTAGGTAGACAGATACGTACATTTGGAGTGGAAAAATTTAAACAAAGAAACTTCTTCACCCTCTATCATTAGCCAGCCGAATAAATGAAATGACGAATGAACGGTTTTGAAAGAGGGATAGATGAATGGATGAATGAATGATTGGATTAGTGAATGGATAAATAGATAGATGGATTACTAAATGAATGAATGGATTGTTTGATGGAAAGATGAATGGCCTGATGAATTTTTATATAAATATGTACTAAAGATGGATAGATAATTGAATAAATATTAAAAATAGAAACATGAAATTTGAAAAAAATTATTAATAGCAATTATCAAGTATGGACAAAATTATTTAAAATTTGACGAAATATTGGATGGATAGATGCGAATAAATAGAAGGTGTATAACTGAACGAGAGAACGGATTGAAGGAATGAAGGATAGATGGATGGATGGATGACCGTGACGTCATAATAAATTCTCCGTTGAGATGGGAATTGTCACTAAATGATATTGGCCTGGACCAATCAATTATTCCAACTGGCTCGTGACTGATGTCCGTACGTGGGTGAATGCTTCAATGAGTCAGTAGCCAACCAATGGATGAATGAATGAATGATTGATTGAAGCAGCCGAATGATCAATTGAAGAAATAAGTGAATGAAAGTGACGGTTAAAGGAAAGAAATAATATAGGTAATATTTTAAATAAACAAATTAAATATCATAGTTCTCGGTGTTTAACTGAAAAATAGTATATTTATTGCATGTGACGAATTATAAAACAAAAACAATGATCAAACAAACAACGAACAAACCACCAAGCAAACAAACAAAAGAACAAACAAACAAAAAATATAAAAGAACAAACAAAAACAAACGAACTATCATTAAAACATGTCATTAACACGTTCACCCCTGTCATGTACCTAAAAAAAATGCATCCTACTCGTCATCAAGAGTTAACAAGCTGTCAGTAAAATGTTTCATACGGTCCTATATACACGTGTGACTTTTAAAGATATACATTACACACCTCACTTTCTTTCTCTCTCTCTCTCTCTCTCTCTCTCTCTCTCTATTTCCCTCTATCTCTCTCTCTTTTTCTATACAATCTCTTGCTATACTGTATTTATTTATTGTGTTTATAGTAATACAATATACATATATGTATAAATATTTTTCATACACGTGTGTCTGTATGTCTGTGTGTTTGTATGTGTGTGTGTGTGCGCGTGCGTGCGTGCGTGTTTGTAAGATGTGTATAAATAAATTGAAAGGTCTTCTTATCGCTAAACATGTGAGTGATCAAAAACAACGGCCAGTAGATGAAAAGCTAGGTGAACGGATGAATGGATGAACAAATGAATGAATAAATAGATAAATGAATAAATAAATGGATAGACAAATAGATAAATAAATAAATGTATGAAAGATAAAATTATATATGAATAGATGGTTGAATATTGAAAAATTATGCATATATATATATATGTACGTATGTATGGATGTATACAAACAAATATGTATGTTTTCTTTCAAGCATGTTTTCTCATTAAATGGAATTGTTCCATTTAATGAGAAAACATCTCAGAA